ATATGCCAAAAATTGCAAAAACAAACATTCAAAGATCAAGTAACGGGACAAAACTTTTTGACGGTTATCAACAAAAAATCACGATTTAACTGTTATTTTAACTCAGATTTTGATGATGTTTTATAGCTACACTCCTTGACCCTATATGAATACAATGAATGAACTTGATCTTCAATTTAAAATATTTACACTAGTGGATACCGTAAAATCTGATGTTATACTTAATGAAAGTATGAATAAACTCTTTAAGTGTTAGTGAATCTATTATTTTGTTGGGATACGCATTCTACGAAACTAATTTCAACGATCCAACGGTCAAACATGTTTGTATATACTTCAAGATCGCTTACACCAAAAATTGCAATAAACAAACATTTAGAGATTGTTTTACACCTACACTCCTTGACCCTATATGAATACAACGAATGAATTCGATCTTCAATTTAAAATATTTACACTAGTGGATTCCACAAAATCTTATGTTATACCTAATGAAAGTATAAATAAACTGTAAGTGTTAGTGAATTTATTGTTTTGATGGGATACGCATTCTACGAAACTAATTTCAACGATCCAACCATCAAACTTGTTTGCATATCCTTCAAGATCGCATATGCCAAAAATTGCAAAAACAAACATTCAGAGATCAAGTAACAGGACAAAACTCTTTGATGGTTATCAACGAAAAATCACGATTTAACGAGTAACTCCGATTTTGATGATTTTTTACAGCTACACTCCTTGACCCTATATGAATACAATGAATGAATTCGATCTTCAATTTAAAATATTTACACTAGTGGATACCACAAAATCTTATGTCATGTTGATCGATGAAAATTGAGGATTTTGTAAAAGGAATAACATGTAAGCTTTGAGTTCCATTGGTAAGATTTAAAAATTTGATAAAGGCTTCACAATCTTGAAAACAAAAACTCCTTCATTTTGCATATCATTGCACTTTTAATATTTTGTAATAGACTAGTAGTGTATGGATGTTTGTTTATTAGGCTCTTATTTTCGAGTGTAGATGTAATACTTAAACGACAAATGTGTTTTAATGTTTTGAAGAAATATTTATGTGTGAATGTGTGGCATGTGCAAATTTAAGAGAAAAAAAATATTTTTCTTAACGGGTGTGATACGACACGACCCATTTGTCAGGCCTACTCAAACCCTTCCTCCTCCCTTCACAGTAGATTAGAATAGTGATATTTGTCTTTTAATTTTTTTTATTTTTTATTTTTTCTTTTTTTTTAATGAGAAGAAAAGAATGCTATTGATTACTACATATTTAGATTAAACGTTGCAAGATTCTGCTTGAACCCAAAATTTACTTCACGCATCCACCAAAAAAGAGATTTAGTACAATCCTGTTATATCCTTCTGATCGGTGAGCTCATTTAACTAAAGTTTTTTTTAGATACAAGATTCAAGAGTCATTGGGAGGGAGGATAGATTACAAGACTTCAAGTGCAACAATAAACACTTTTAACCAACTTAACTATAAGTCCGTTACAACTAATTGAGCTTTTGGGAAATATAAAAACAAAAAGTATGCAGTATAATCTAAAATAGCAGCACAAGAAAAATTTGGTGAATTTTGGTCTTACTATCATTCTCTTAGAAGCCACATGTCAAACGTGAGAACAATCTTGAAAATAACACCAACCATGCATAAATGTTTACAACACCACCTTTTTCTGTAACTTTGAAGGGTTTACCACATTATGATTCTACCCTCCATCATCATTCTCGTTCTCTCTCTTTCTCATTTCTAGCATTACCATCAATGTTCTAAAAAACTCGTCTCTGGACGCACCTAGGTAGCCTTGTAGGCAGGCCAGGGTGGCATCAATTTCACTTCTATTTTGTGGAAGCCTATGAAAAACGCACCTATCTTCTTCATGGTGCACCTAGGCGCACCTCGGGGCATTCAATTTTGGGTGTCGACTTTGTTTAGTTGACGAAATCTGGAAAAAATCTGGTTTTTTTATTCAGTTGCAAAGAGTTTGAAGAAGACAAAGAAGATGAAAGCTTATATGGCAGATTTTTCTCTTCTTTTTTTTTTTTCTCTGTCCTGACAACTTTTAATAGCATATTCTTTTAGTTGAACGAGGATCCTCTCCAAATCCTCTTTGTGAGGATTCGAAGATCAATCAATCGTGTCCTTCATCGTACATCGTGCAATCAATTTTCATTAAATACCATTTCTATTCAATTTTAAGTGAAAAAATTCAAAATAACTTCTACTGCATGATGTATGATGTACGATGAACGGACACAATTGATTGATCATCCAGATCCCCACAAAGAGGATCCGAAGAGGATCCTATTCCCTTTTAGTAATCTTTTTTGAAAGTTTATGTTTTATATTACTAGCAAGAGTGCCCGTGCGGTGCTATGGGTCTTGAAATTGTATAAAACATGTGGAATGCTTTAAATATATATCATAAGTCATAGTACTTTTATACGCACAGTTGAAAACTGTTGGCACAGCAGGTCCTACAATGACAAAAACATTAAGCATTATTAACCAAATATGTAAAGTTTATGTCAAATTTTATATTATGTGCGGTTTGAACTATGGATGATAACAATGAGAAAAACATGTGTGCTTTGAACTATGACCTTAAACCTTAAATACCGTATGAATCCAAGTTTTACAAATTATTCGCATTCAAACCAATCAATTGAATTACGCTAAAACAACTTTGGACTAAAGTGTTTAAGAAGTGAAATATAAACCCTCATTTTGCAGAATTGTTTACTTAGAAAAACGAATGCATAAATGGACAAAATGGTGTTCTAGAGAAAAGTTTCTCTATCTTGATATTCGACACACAAAATGTGAAATCTAAAGTGTTTAGCATACTTAAAATGGCTTCTAGGAATTGATTTGTTCCATGAGATAATGAGCGAAAGACATAAAAATCAGATCGCACAAAACTTTTTTGTGCATCCATTGGTTCATTGTTCAAAAAAATTTGCAGAGGAGAGATTTTTACCTAATTTTTCAGAAATGATGGTGGAGAAGCAGCTGTTGCGGTTTAGTTATAATCTGACAGTAGGAACTCTTGGATGACGGTCCATATGCGGAACAAGGACCTAATATTAATAAGCATTTGACCAAAGAGTGATCCAATTCAAGTTCAAGGGATTAAATCTGCAACAAAAAAACAATAACAAAGCAACCCAAAAAGTTTTGAAAATAATCCTATGTATTTGAAAACTATGTAACAATTTTTACCTTGAGTTTTGAAAATATAAAGTTATTAAATTGAAATCTTAAATCCTAAACGTAATCAATTTAAGATGCCTAGTATGAAACCTCACATCTAAGAACTGAATTGAGAAGCTGGTTTACGTTGTGAAAGTGAAGCGAGAAGTAACTTCTCCATTTCAAGATTAGCAAATCAAAGTTTTGAGCTGTCAAATTCTCTATCTCAATCAACCAGGTTCTCCATTTCAAACCATTTATCAAAAACGAATCCAAAAACTAAAACTCTTAATTTTCCAAGTGTATTCAAGATTTGCTTCCTGTAAAAATAGGAAATATGGAATCATTATTTGGAGATGGAATCATATAAAGAGCTAAAAGAGCTTGTACGCCACTGGAAGAACCAACAATATGGCATTCTTTGTATCATTTTATTGAGTTTAACATGGTTGGAAAAAAGTTCAAACTCCAAACAGCAGATAATTAACTGAGAACCCCTAAAAAAAGTTAATTATTAAATATTTAACAATAGCTAGTCTACAATCAACCAAAACAAACAAATAAAAGTCACATTTCATAACTAGCATGCAAAAACCAATACCACTAATGATTCAGAAAACCTTAATTAACTATCTTAGGTAGACATGCAATCCAAAATATATGAAGACAAATTTGATAGATTTGAGCCTTACCTGAACAAAGATAAAACAAAAGGCGTAGATATAAGATTGGAAATTGGATTTGAACTATGGCATCTACTTCTCTCCAAACTCAAAGCTGGAAATGGAAGAAAATATAATACATTTTGAGTCATGCAATTCAAATTGCAAACAAAGAGTTAAATTTTCAAACATGCAATCCAATAACTAAGATGTGTCTACAGATTATTCAAAAACTAATTACCAAAAGAGTATGGTAAAGTTGTAAATTAAGTAGATTACAACACATTTAGAAAACGATCGAAGAGAAACAACTAGGCCTTCAGCTCCCTACACTCAATCTCTATCTGCAACATCCGTATCAATAGAATATATGTACATTTTAAGTGTTGCTTTTATCGAACCAATCTATGATTGAGATTGAGATCTTATGATCTAATTGCAAAGAAGTTTTTAACAGAACATGAGAGCTACAATCAGCGACGGATCTAGAATTTTAAACTCGGAGGGTCCCAATAATAAAGGTCAAAAAATTTATAGACAAAAATAACGTCGAAAAGTTAAATATAATACATTTCATTCAAAAATGATATGCAAAACAACATTACAAGCTATAAAATCCTAATTAAAGAGTCCATGACGAGGTTTCATAGTCTGAAAATGTTCCATGATAGCTTCAATACCAATACATGAAAAAGCATATTTCTCAATGTAAACAACTAAGCTGTCATTCAACCATTGATCTCCTATTTTGTTGCGAAGTGGATTCTTAATGATATTCATAGCGGAAAATGTCATCTCCACTGAAGCATTTGCAACTAGTAAAACCAAAGTCAACTGAACAACCAAATATACATATGCGCAACCCTTTCTCCACCATTTTCTTAGCAAGCTCATTAATCCCCCGCAATTGAGAAAAATCATTATCAAAACGCACAAAATGGGAACTCATACTTTGTAGGCCTACAAGGTCCCATTTGCAAATATGCTCTTCGGACCTCATCTTGAATATTAGAAGGATAGTCTTTCATTCGAATTCTTTTTCCCGGGTCTCTCTCAAGATTATTAAAATCAATGTCACACTCATTTTGTCTTGAGCTTGAATTATCCGAACAAGTAGATGGTGCTATTGGCTTTGGATTGAAAAATCTTTCCATATTTCTTATTTCTAAACTACACATTTAACCAAAAACACAAAACATATACCAATCAACCAATAAACAAAAATTCCATCTAAATTTCAATGATAAAATGAGTATACAAACATAAAACATATCAACAATCATATCAATAACAGACTAAAAATCTCCACCAATATCTAATATAATTTAATTGAGATTAGATTAGAATACCAAAAAGTTTACTTGAATTTTGAACCAAATAGTGGTGGCTTGGAGAATTGAAACAAGTGGAGGTATGATATTAGAGTAATGTAATTATAATATGGGATTGGGTGGGATTAGAAATTTAGGGTTTTGGAATTGGGTGAATATAAGAAAGATGGGGGGGGATTAGGGGGGCAAAACAGAGGAATAGGGAAAGGACTCTTGGGAAAGATGGCCCGTGTGGGGCTAGGCCTTAAAAAAGAGAGTATGGAATCATGGACAAACGGCACAATTTATCTCAGGCTTGAAAAAATAAAAAATAAAAAAAATAAACAAATTAAACAAATTGGCCAAAACACTGCGTTTTGGACCAATTTTTTAAAAGGCCTGTTTGTTTTCATTCTTCTCCGCCGCGGCCCCGCTGTCTTCTTCTTCGTAGCAAGCTGCAACCTTCAAGCTGCAGCCTGCAGTACAGACCTCGTGTTCAAGTACGAGGGGTCCTGGGACCTCCCAGGTCCCTCTGTAGATCCGTCTCTGGCTACAATAATGGATTTTCATTAAAAGTTGAAATAAGCTGAAAACAACATAGGATAAAGGAGAAAATTCAAACAATATTGTGATAATGTGAAAAAGATAAAAACATCATGGCCCAATTTGAAAAACAACGTCAACCTAATGGATGTAAAATGTGGTTACTCTTTTTTTTTTTTTTTTGCTCCAGATAGTTTTTCAGGGAACGTCTTGCCTTTCTGAAATACACTGCTTTTGTTCCTAATAGTCATGCTTGGATTTTGTATGGCTCTTGATATATACAAAATTAAATGGAACTCACTTGAGAATTCAAGAGAAAGATCAATGGAAAATGCCTCACAGACCAACTTGAAAGAAAACATAGTGTCAAATGATTGTGCTAGGAATAGAAAAATGCAAACTTTATATGGAAAATGAAGATTTACCTGCATACCGGCAGCAGCAAAAGCAAACGGAATACATGTATTACTGTAAGAGAGAGAGAGGGACATAGATGAAAGATGAGTGATTAGTTAGAGCTATAATTTTTAAGCATGTTCTGCAAACTGAATCATTTAGCTATCACATTGATATGCAAAGCAGATATGCAATATCACCAAAATTTATGATCATTATCCAAAATCTTCATGTAAACATAACATCAACTTAACACCACTACTAGAATTTTGGCTAAAGGACATCCTTTTCATTGGTGTCTATTATAAAGAATGGGCATTGACGTTGGTGGCAAACCTCAATTGCCACCAAACAGCCACTAAATAGAAGTCCATATCCTATATAGAAGTCTCTATTGTTACAATCACCACCAATTAGATAACGGTGGCACTATGAATAGTTACACCTTTGAAATATTATATAATTTTTATACATCGGTGTCCATGTTGTAATATGTTTTAAAAAAAAAAAAGGGCCCATTAATCTGGTTCTGCTCTGTAATGTATGATAGCACCATTTGCACCAGAAGCTGGAATATTATAATTTACATTGGAAGGCGTTGAAGAAACCAAAAAAAGAACTAGTATCTTCAAAAGAAGAAAGAGAATCGGAATAAAATATCCAAGTAGTAAGCTCAGGAAATAAGAGCATGCTTAGCTATGGCAATGAAGGTAAAAACCTAAAAGAACTATAGTATAAAAAAAAAGTTACAAAAAATAAGGAAGTGGCATGTACCGCTTATGGTGTCAAAGCTTGTATCTAGGAAACCAGACTGCGCCGAACGAAATTCGAAAGTTTTTCTGCAACCTCTACCTCAGTCAATTCTTCCGCAGCCTCGGACGAAAACAGAAACTGCTTCCTTCAGAATATGATGGAGAAGGTGGCATCATAAATAAAGCAAGTATAAAAATAAGTAGTTCAACAAGTCAAAAAACAGTAGTGTTCTTTAGTGATAGAAACTTATTAAAAGACATTATTCAACCAACCAGAGTTCAGCTGCTTTTCAGCCTAAAAGTAGGAAAGAGTAAAAGCTCTCAAGAATCACACCTCAGCCCAGATCACACATGAAAGGGAAAATAAATCTAAAAAATCAAATCGTAAAATTGAAAACATGTTGTCCCTGGCAAATGAGCTGACGACTGAACCGTCCACGTCTGAGACGTCAATGAGGAGAGGTCGCGGATCTCCGGGTCGACCTGAGCAGAGAGAAATCCGATGAGGACGTTGAGAATGTAGATCCCCAAGCCATACGACACCGCGTACAAGCGAGGACCCGAGAAATCTTTACAATCGAAAGGGTAAGGGAGCTAGGGTTAGGGAGGAGGAGAGGGGTTGAGCGCAGGGAGGACGGACAGAGAGAGAACGACTGGTTGAAAAATAGGAGAGCAAAGCTGAATCCTAAATTAAAAAACAAAACAACATGACTTTGGTGTCAAAATTTTTACAGTTGACACCAATGAATGGTGTTGAAAATGTTTGAGGCACCAAATTCATACGATAGTTACGTACATTTACAAAGCCACTGATACAGAATGGTGCCTCTAAATCGGTGCCTATAGCACATTTTCTAGTAGTGCACCTCTCTATTTCTAATCTATCTCCTTGTTGGTATTGTGATAAGGTTTATATTAAACAATGTTTTCATCAATATTTAATGAAAAAAAAAAGACCGCAATAGAAGTTTAACATGATCTTTTTTAGATCGACCTGTTGAAAGGAAAAAAAAAACACAAAACTTGTAACACAATTTGAACAAAAAGAGAGTTCTCAATCATGGAAACCTTCAATTTTCATGTAAAAAAAAACTATGTTTAAATTTTAGGGCTTAACAATGGAGTATTGGAATTTGCATTTAATTTAAATAAGTAAGATTAACTGATAAAACAAATGGTAATAGAATTAATTATCCGTTTAAAGAGAGCTTTGAACGAAGAATATTTTTAAGTATCCAAACAACCATTAAACTAAACAATTAAAAGTAAAAACAACAAAGCATTTCATTGAAGATATAATAATGTAATTGGTTCTTCATACCTAAAAGAAAAATATTGGCTTTCTTGTATGAACTAGGGGTGGGCACGGTACGGTTTCGAGTGAAACCGTAACCGAAACCGAAACTTTTTGCGTTACAGTTCGGTGCAGTTTTGAAGCCAAAACCAAAATGAAACCAAACCGTTTGGTTCGGTTCGGTGCGATTTTTTACACAACTTCTTATATACGTTTTTGTGAGGCACATTTCCGTATATCCCCCTAAAACTACACCTGACTAGAGAACAACAAAATAGAAAATCAATGAAAACAGAACAAAAAAACTCATACACAACAGTGCTCCAATAGCACGAAAGAACCAAACCTCAAATTCTGAGAAAATTGAAGCCAATAAGGACGTTAACAAACAAAATGTGTTCCACTTCCACAAATGATTCATAATCCTTCCCCTAGCACCATTAAAAATACTCCTATTTCTCTACATCCAAAGAGAAGCAACTGCTTTGATATAGTAATATGATAATATCTATGACCTCCTTGTCAGTATCAGTAACAGACGATTTGCAAAACAAGAAAGAAAGAGAGAAAGAAGTTCTTGAGTGGAATAAGCTGCTTAACTTCAGAGTTTTCACTGTCATATGACTAAGAAAAACTGCATTCATGAAAATTCTTGATTTTGCTATCAATATATAATGTGGTATGCAGAACACTTGAAGAGTCTAGAAAGTGCTAATGCTATTCCATCCCCCTCAATATGACCGATGCTCACAATAGAAAGAAACATAGTTTCATCTCATCCCATATTAAAGAATCAATGGATTCAATATATAATGAGATGCAATTACCAGAAAACACTCAAACAGTGGAGGGTGGTTCCAATATATAATGAGATGCAAATTGCCAGAAAATAGTGGAGGGTGGTTCCTAAAGAAAATTATAATTTAGAACTTAAATTGATACTTTGGTGGTTCCTAACTAGCTAGTTCTCCTTTTGATTCACAAACCCTATCCCTAAAATTAATTATAAACCCTAACCCAGTTCTCCTTTTGAATCTTTGATTCAAACAAACCCTAACTGTAAAATTAAGTTAATTACAAATTATTAACTAAACTAACTAATACATGTTCTAAGTTTTTACCATATTAGCTGGAATGAAGAGCAGGTGAATGATTTGCCAAGTCTGTTTTGTAGAGCTTTTGATTTGCAAAGTTCAGGGCTTGCAGATGAAAGGGATTTAGGTATGCAAGCAGCAAGGTCGCAGAGATGCAAGCAGCGAGGTCGCATGCAGAGATGCAAGCAGTGAGTTCAGGGCACTGATGTTAACTGTGGAAGAGATGAAGATGAGTTTTTGAGAGAGATGAAGTGAAATTGAGTTCTAAGGAAGAGAGAGACAGATAGATGCAAGCAGTGAGTTCAAGGCACTGATGTCAAATAGTGGTGTAAAATTGGATGACTAGTATAGTTGTAGTTGAACTAATTAAAACATAATATTGTGTGATTTCTGTTTGGTGCGGTTTTGAAAACCCAAAACCGAAACTAAACCGTTTTCTTTGCCGCGATTCGGTTTTGAAACCACAATCGTTTCAAAACCGCAAAACCAAACTGTTCGATGCGGTCCAATTCGATTCATGTTTCGGTTTTGATTTTCAGTTCCAAGTGCCCACCCCTAGTATGAACTAAAGTAAGTGCCAGAAATTTACAATCTACTGAGAGTTAGTCTCAGAATCAAAATACATTTATAGGAAAAGTAATAAGCAAAATAAATAGTGGTTTTACCTATCCTCCATGTCAGGACTCCAATTTCCAATTACAATTCAAGAGGCCTATAAATCAAATATAGATTAATAGAAAATGAAAAACAACTAAAGTAAAAATAGCAATCTAACAAATCATTTAGCACCATCACAAAAAATAATTTTTGCATAAAAATAATTTAATAGCCATCAGATCATGCATATAGACAATATCCCCAATTAGATAAGTAGCAGATCAACAATTGATGATCAAACCAGCCTCAATTGCTTCAATCTAATTAACTCAAAGATAATAAATAGTCCATTTAATGCACGGGTTGACTGTCGATTTTATAAAAGTATGAATATGTGCAATTTAAAAACCAAGTGGCAAACTAAGCATTGGATTCTTGTATTAAAAGTCTGAATTAATTGCCCTGCAAAGTAACTAAACTAATTTCAACAATCTAATATAAAGCTAAATGAAGAATTAGACAAACCCAACAATGAAAGGTCTAATTTTTAAACAACATAAAACAAATCCATGAATAATAAGTAAAACACAATTTTTATGCATTACCAATTAGAAATTAGTAAAACACAAAAAAATCTTCAAAAATAATAAGTATTTAAGACATTAATTCAAGCTGTCTCATTTGTCTATCAAAGGGGTTAGCATCCCAGTTCTATTGACAATCATCCAAGGTCGCCTTTGTAGTTAAAACATCATTATAAACATCACTTCTAGGGTCAGTCATCTCCTTCAGCACTTTTTTAATTAAATTCAATTTGTAACACACTTAAAATTGAAAAGATCCCCGAACATAGGTATTCCAATAAAAGAAACCATTGGAAGAAAATCCTCCATTTCAGTTAAATGATTGAACAACTTAAAAGGAGAGTCTACACTAAAACTGCAATCATCGTTTTCTTTTACAACATTATATTTAATATTTTTACATCATGAGACCTCTCATGGTGCAAATCTCATACAATATAATTTCTTTGCATAAAAAAAAATTGCTCATAACCTAAACTATAATAAAGCCCAAATAAGAATCCAACTTCATAAACGAAATCAAAATCCAGCTCCATGATTGATCAAAGGTTGGTGGGTGTCTTCACATCGAACAAAGAGAAGCTTCACACAGATAAACAAAACATAAAATATGAAAAAAGAGAAAAGAGCAAGAGAGAAATACCAAAAGGAAGAGAAGAAAGCAATCGAAGGAGATCACATTACCGTTGATCGTATGGTCCAGCTGGAGACAATTCAAACAGGAACAAAACAGTCAAGTTATGGGTATATTCAAGATCTCTTGGTAAACAAAAAGGAATTAAACAACCAATTTCAAATTGAGGACAAAAATCTTACCAGGGAAAGGAGATATCAAGGTCGTTAATGTCGGAGTCGTAGAAGACGCACCAAAGGAAGTTGTGGGAACCGTGTTTACCCATAAGTGGTTGCGGGAAGTGTGTTCGAGGGAGAAGGGGCAAGTGAGCGAGTTTAGGGATTTAAGATTTTCGTTTGACGTTAAAGATTGGAATCTATGGAACTGAGCAAGCGGAGCAGGGTGAAAGACGGAAAGAAGTCTCTAGAACTCCTCCAATTCCAATCAGAGATCAAATAAAAGACCAAATAACTAAAACAGGGGTAAAATGGAATCACATTGTAGAATGAACATTAGATAAAGAAACACAAAAGGGCAAAAACGGAAAAACACTGTAAAAAGAACAGTGTTCGAGTTGTTTTTCTCTTTTAGTATATACTAGTGTAGTGCCCGCGCGTTGCCGCGTGTTTAAAAAATGTATAAAATATATGTGCATTCATATTAGGTGTAATATTTACAATTGTATTTATACACATAATAATTTGTACCTGAAAGTTATATTGACTGTCGCTTCCCAATTTTTTTGTTTTATTTGTGATGATGTACATGCTTCTGTGTTATGATTTGAGAAAATAGAAGCTGTTAGTACAAATAAATAAGAATGTTAAAGAAGAAGAACGATTTTTATAATTGGTAAAGAAATTGGGTAATTTTTGCATTTTTAAATAAATTTAATAATATACTACAAAGAAAACTGCAAGGTACCTATTATTTTGATCAGCAATCTTCCCCAAATAGTAACACTGGATGATGGCATAAACTGTCATAGCCTTCAAAAATGACAATTGGCAAAAACCTGTTTATATCGGAGATAAAATTTTAATGACATTCACAGGATAAAACCTGTTATTATTGTTAAAAAAAAAAATAAATAAATAAAAAAAGAAGAAGAAGAAAAAGCATTGATTGCTTTCTTTGTAAATTGAATTTACATACCATATGAGAGGTTAATTTAGCTTTGATCGAGATTTGTAGTACATGCTGAAGTTCTCAATGTTTGACGGTGATGGTATACAGTTGATTGACTCGTTTCAGATGAAGACAACTGTGAACATTTCTGAGCCAAAAGCTGTTGTGGAGTTTGTTAGAAAATTAAGCAATATATGTAAAAACTGAGAATTATTCCAAGTGATGAACCATGGATATAAAGGAGTTTTATTTTATAGTGGAAAACAACATAAAACAATAAAAGAAAATCTTTACAAATTCGTTTGAATTTCCTATACCATATGTTACTGGGTTTTCAATTTTACACACCAATGTGCCTATCTTATTTGCAGCACGAAACCAACATTAACATATAACAAAAAGTTGAGTGTTTACCTGCCAATGTAGCAATAGGAACGAACACTATAGTTCCAATTCAAAGGTCAAACCTTTCTGCAAATAAATCACTCTACGTTTCACCAATTTATTCCATCTCACCACGAAAACTAAGCAAACACAAACCCACAATACAAAATTAACATTTAAAAGAAAATGGAGCTCGTCTTCTTGGAAATTTAAGCACCAATGCATAAAATTGTCCACTAATTCTTAGTTCTTCTATGCATTGCGGGATCATATGCTTACTTGCAATTGATGTTATAATTTGTGAATTTTATGTAAACGACCCTTAAGTTTATATATTGACAGTTAAGACGTAAGAAAAGCTAAAATATATTTACTCTGATTGATCAAATTACTTTGTCTAATTCCCAAAATATGTAATGTACAACATGGTCATCTTTACACATGTATTATGGAACAAACCAAAACCAAATTAAGGAATTTTAATTTAAAAACAAAGGTAAAACATAAGGTACAAATTACACTAAAGTATGGACATTGCATCCAAAAAAGAATGGATCATTTACTGTCAAGTTAATATTGTAATCTCTTATTACATTATTAAGGTCTTCTTCGTACTGCAAAGATAATAAACAAAGTTTAAGTCCACTAATCTTGAGGCCAAATAAGAAACAATATCATAACTAAAAACTAAAATAGCTGACAAATAATTTGATCAAAGTGAATAGAAGATGAGCTGACAATGCCATACCCTACGATCAATGATAATTTGATACAATGCCACGTGGAAATTGCTTAGCCCATCTACTGAAGACTAAATGTGTGAAAAAATAGGCTGCAAAAGAAGAATAAATGAAGCATAAGTTGAAAAAGAATATTTGGTCACAAATGACCTTACCGTTAAAAGTAAATTATAAGAACTTACCATGGGTATTGATAGAAGCAGGAGACTGTTCATAAAGATTTATCTATTACCAAAGAATTAGTGAAACACATGACTAAAATCAAATTCCTATCTACCCAAGTCTTTATACAACTAAAAAAGTTGGGAACATTTAATCATAACCTGGAAGAAGAATCCATTTGGTGATTTGATTCAAACCTGGCTGAAATCTTCGAGTCTTCTTATGATTTCAAACGTCTCCAAAACACCTGGTGTTTCAAAAAAACATCAAGCCCAATAAATACTACTCACACAACAAAAATTAATAAATATAAAAACCGAATTTGTTCAAATCAACACAAAAAACCAAAAACTCATAGGAGCTTCCTTCTGAGAATCTCAAACTCTAACCATTTCAAAAAAAGTTCTTCGCATTTCCTCAAATACGTGCTAAACTCTCTCCTACTGCTCAAAATCCAAATGAGTACTTGAGATATATAGAACCACATTTAAGTTAAAGCTATACTGCACTAAATGACATTCAAAACCACAAACACCAAAACAAAGATGAATTCAACACGTTGAATGTGTAATACTCATATCTAAATCCAATTTGAAACATAATTTTCGCCCTTAAAATTTTTGCAACAAATGAACAATCAATTTAGGAAAGCAACTACAATGCAACTGAAGAGCTGTTCGACTTAGCTCCATTTAGTATGGCCAAAAGCTTGAAAAACAGCTTAGAAGCACAATTCCAAATATTACCAAAAGCAAGCATCTTTGGGGTAAAGAGCCCACTTTCCCAAACAGAGCTTTAAGTTCATGCCACATGATTCAAATTAATTTATCAATAATATAAGTTTTAAAATGGTAAAAAAGGAGGAAATACACCTGTCACCCTGTTCACTGTGATCTTTGAAATCCAAGTTCCACTACGTATCCCTCTGCATAGCTGCATAACTTCCAGTGACGAACACGGTTTCAGAATATATAAACTTCAGAACTTAATTTATTCTATAAAATAGAATAAAAAAGTTGATTTACACTTGTAAGGCATGCTCCAATGTTGATATAAAGTTGAGTCAGTTGATTTGTGACCACCAACTGTAAACGAAAAATGTAAATGCTAAGTTAGTTTACATGTTTAAATCTTTTGGTAAATGCTAAGTTATGTTATTATCTATGATGGCATGCCAAAGACCAAATAAAAAAAAATAACAGTAAAGAGTTAAAACTCAAAGTTGAAATACCATCTTCAATGTACCATCATATGCTAGCATTTAAAGTTGAATTGTTAAAATTTAAATCCAATGATCAACTCACCTTTCTTAATCTTTTCTGGAGGAATAAACAGAACGTTTCTTCTACTCTTCTTTAACCACTACACCAAAAAAAACAATAATGTTTAAATATTAAAATTGAAGATCTTAAATTCATAAGTTAAAAACTTAAAAGCTAGTTAAAATAAACATCCATTACAACAATAGCACGGAAATTAAGTTGTTTTATTTCTGAGCATTTTTTTGGCAATCAAACGGAGAAAATCTGTGTTAAACTAAACACGCAATGGTTGTTAAATTTAGTTCTTTAAATTTATAATTTTTTTAACATGTGAGTTGATCCGTACTTTTTAATTTGGTTTGGAAATGGGGTAAGATCATGTTGGTTTAAAACAATTGTTAACATGTTATGGTGGAATATATTATACCAAGGATTAAACAAATAGTTGTCATTTATTTCTTGCAATGCATTCACTGTTAATGAATAGTGACATCAAATTGATAAGTTTGTAGCTACATAGGAAAAAAGACTAATAGGTATTATGCACATAAGTAATCAACCAAAACCTCTTTCCACATCAACTAATCAATAGCTTTAACTGTAAAAAAAAAAACAAAAAAATTGATTCGAAAAACCTCTGTAACTATTGTAATTTTCAGTTTCTAACTCATTCTTTTGATCAATATCATCTGAATCAGTGTAATTTCGTCAAATTCTAATCCATATTATCACTTGTGTGCCTAAAAACTAATCGACTCTTAACAGCAGCACAAAAAAAAATAAAAACTTGGAAAAACAAAGTTGTGTGCCTAAAGGCTTTGTTTTAAAAGACAGAGAAGGGCATAAGAACTTTACCTTAGGAATTTTCCCAACTCCGCTCAACTTTTTTACCCACCCTAAAAAATACTTCAAATCCGATCCACCTACTAAAACACAACCAAAAAAAAAAAAAAAAAAAATTAGCAAACTAATAAACTTAATTATATATGATCATTTCACCACATATTTCAAATTAATTGGTGAAAAAATTAATTAATTAAAATGAGTTTAAAATAAATATAAAAACCAATAATAATTGTGATTGTCCATTTTCTGCTCCCTGGGCTTTCCACTTGGAGTTCAAGATAGCACGAAACCACTAAAAAAAAAAAAAACTATTCAATTTCTGAGACCAGAGAACAAAACCAAGCAAACACCACCAATGTAACAGAAACAACATAGTAAAATAGAGTTTTACAGAGAAAAAAAAAAAAAAAAAAAAGAGAGGACTTTAATTTTACATCGATCGAGCAATCGATCTAGACGAAAACCCTAAATCTCGAAGACCAAGATTTCCTAAAACGAAAATTCGAATTAGATGGAACAGCCACACACAAATCATCGAAAAAAAAGAAGAAAAGTTTTAAAGAAAAAACTCACAGACCTTAATCAGAAGGGGTTTGCAAGGTTGTACACAAAAACCCTAAAATTCGCACACCAATTTTCCTGAAACAAAAAAACCCAATCAGATCAAACAACCACACTGAAAACATCAAAAAAAAAAAAAAAAAAAAAAGGAAACAATCAGTGCAAAACGCAAAGACTTGAATTTTACAGCGATCAATCTGCAAATTTCTTCCCAATCAAAGAAAGGACAAAAAAAATATAAGCAGAGAAACCACCTGAAACAGTGCAATCACCCGGAAAAGAAACTCTTCATACGACACACGATCGACGCAGAGAGAGAAGCAGGGAAACACGAAGGATTGACGCAGGGAGAAAAGCACGGAAACAGAGAGGAAGAGAAAGGGAAAAGCGACGGAAGAAAATGGAAGAGAGTTAAGCAAGGAAACACGAAGATTGAACAGGGAGAAAAGCAGAGAGAAACAGAGAGCAGGCGAAAGGGAAAAGCAACGGAAGAAAATGAGAGAGGGTTCGAGCACCTTCCCATATGTAGACTCACTCTGCTAAGGGGCAAAATCGCCAATTCATGTAGCATCTTTTAAAGGGCTGAAAACCGTGCGTTAGATCAGGGGCAAAATCGGATTGGCACTGTTAATGAACAGTGCCAATCCGCTGAGCTTTAGTATATATAGAATATAATTTTATATAATATATTGAAAAAACTAAAAGATAAGTAGAAAGAATTTTTTTTTTCATACTTTTTATACGTTTGATATATTTTATGAACCTAAAAAAACTCACAAGACATCTATACTTTTTAACATTGTTTATACATCCAACAAAGGACATGACCAGCACATTTAAAGATATCATAATTTTGTTTATATTTTTTTTGTTTTGTAACGTTAGATATTATGTAAAGTTACGAATGCCAATGAATAATGTATTTGATTGCTTGAGTTGTAAGTGACTTGTTAATCGAGTTGGTAGCAACATAAGTGATTTGATAGTCCTAATGAAATAAGGATTATGGAGTTTTAACTTTTGCAATTAACCTAGGAGAATCCTTAGAAGTTTCAATACAAAGATGTAGAATCATGGTAAGACTCAATCACTTAAGTGATGGACAACCACTAATAGCCCGGTTCTGAATAAACCCTAATGTTATAAATACTAGGTTAAGTCCCTACTTCCATACGTTGATCTCTCATATGCTAAACCCTATTCATATAGCAGAGAGATATTATTGAAGTACTGGAAGTAGAAGACAACCTAGGGTTCATCAATGGCTTCTTCTTCTTCAGGTAAGTTTCACGTAAAACTTATATTGCATGTCTGCATGTTGTCCTTCTTTGTTGCACAGAAATATGGTCTGCGTAATCCTATATCCGTATTGTTCTATCATTCTATGCATGCTTATGTATGCATATTATTTATGTAATCCTTACATGTGGTATCAGAGCCTTCCAATAAGGCTAGTGTTCGTTATATAACAGATAATCAAACTGACAGCAGTCAAATTTAATCACTTTAATCCTTTCGCTGATTACTGATATTTGAAAGCATCCTAAGTAATTGTATTTGTGCTACTGTGGTTTGTTCAATGTTTCAGGGAAGGAAATTACACGAGAAAGCTAGTGAACAACATGAAGAAATCATGAATTCATGTGTTATAGCAACACTGAATTAAATAGTATAGTATATAAATTTAAAACAAAATTTCAATGTCTAATCTGCTAAAAAAGTGTTTAGTTTATTGTTTTGGCTTATCATTCAAGGGATTTAAAAAGTAAATTGTTTGAAATTATTGAATAATAATCGGCTTAAAAGTGTTTGTTATTCAAGTCATTCAAACAACTCAATGTATAATGATACATGAAATTGAAAAGATTACCTTTATTTTATATATAAGCAACATTTGTCCAAAGATGATACTGTGTTTATATGTTACTGTCGATGGAAAACATTCTGTGAGAGTTTTCCCAATTCTGTTAAGTACTATAAGTTCTAAAATTGATGGATGACAAATTTGTGTGCATAATTTTCAGTCCCTCACATGACTTATTTGAATTTTCAAAACATTGAAACCCTGATTGGTTCCAACTTGAAGAAATGGAAAGAAGATATGGAAATTGTGCTTGGTTTGATGGATCTCAATTTGGCACTCAGAGAAGACAAGCCTACAGCTCTCATTGATACAAGCACAGTAGATCAAAGGATCAAGTTTGAGAAATGAGAAAGGGCAAATAGAATGTTCTTAATGATATGAAGAAAGTTATGACTCAATCAATCAAAGGAAGGAACCTAAAACAAGATAGTGCTAAAGATTTATTAGCATCAGTAGGAGAGAAATTCAAAGAGTTAGGAAAGCTGAGACATGTACTTTTCTCACACAGCTTACTTTTATGAAATTTGATAGGGCTGGCAGTGTTAGAGAACACATTCTCAAGATGGTGGACTTATCTCAGAAGCTGAAGGATCTTGACATCCAATGACTGATCATTTTTAGTTCACATGGCCCTCAATTCATTGCCAACCAAGTATGGACAGTTGAAAGTTTCGTACAACACTGAAAAAGAAAAATGGGGAATTTATCAATTGATTTCGATGTGTGCGCAAGAAGAAGATAGACTTAAGGGAGATAAATTAACTGAAGTGAATTTCATTCAAGCTGAGAAAGGAAACAAGTTCACAAATGCTGGTTCATTATTCACTGCTGGTAAGTTGAAAAAGAAAGCAATTTCTTCTTCATTTGAAAGTCCTAACGCCTCTAAGGGATCTCACAAACTTAAACCTATGAACATTGAAATTGAAAAAGAAAAAGAATGCTATTTATGTAAGGAAACATGTCACTTGAAAAAGAACTATGTTGGTTTCAAAAACTGGCATTCTAGGGAAGGTAAAATTTTTAATGTTTTTGTGTGTGTTGAGTCAAACTTGGTTTACATTCCACCTAAAAGTTGGTGGTTTGACACTGGATGTTCTATTCACATCACTAATTCCTTGCAGGGCTTCTAAAAAACAAATGAGATGAACAATGAAGTCTACAATGTCTATGTTGGGAATGGGAGCAAGGTTGCTATCGAGTCAATAGGGAGTATTCAACTAGTTTTGTCTTCTGGTTTTATATTAAAATTGAGTCCAGTGCTTTTTGTGCCTTCAATGATAAGGATTTTGATTTTAGCTCCTAAGTTAGTACAGCCTGGTTTATCCTTTTTTGGTGACCAAGAAAGTGTACGATTTTATGATTCAAATAAAATGACGACCTTGCTTGTATATGCAGTTCTTAATATTGATTAGTGGCAAATGAAATGTTCTTATATAAATGAGCGTTTTATTGCTCGTCATATGGGTTCCAAGAGACTGCTCACTTCTGAAAAATTCTTCATGCTTTGGCATAAGAGGTTGGGGCATATCTCTAAGGAGAGGATTGTCAAGTTAACCAACCAAAACCTATTGCCACCACTGGATCAATGATTTTAAAGAATGCACAAACTGTTACAAAGGAAAATTAACTAATATAAGAAAACAGGGTTCAAATCGAAGTCAAAACTTACTTGAAATAATCCACATTGACATTTGTGGACCTTTTCCAAACAAAACTATATGTGGAAAAGAATTGGAGTACATGCAAAAGAACCAGGAATGGAATTTGGTGCCATAACCAAATGAAGTTACTAACACAGTAGGTTGTAAGTGGGATTTCAAAACCAAGAGAGACTCACTTGGCAATATTGACAAACACAAGGCCAGATTAGTTGCAAAGGGGTTCACACAAAGGGAATGAATCGATTACAATGAGACTTTCTCTCCTATTTCAACCAAAGACTCTATGAGGGTTATTCTGGCACTCACAACATACTTAGATCTGAAACTACACTAGATGGATGTCAAGACTGCCTTCTTCAATGGAAATCTTGAAGAAGACATTTACATAACTCAGTCATCGGGATTTGTTGAAAGGGGAAAGGAGTTAATGGTTTGCAAGTTGAACAAGTCTATTTATGGTCTGAATCAAGCTTCCAGATAACGGAACAAGAAGTTTGATGCAATGATGTCAAAGTTTGGTTTCCAAGAAAACAAGATAGATGAGTGTGTGTCTCTCAAGGTTAGTAGTTCAAAAATCATCTTCTTAGTCTTATATGTGGATGATATTCTACTAGCTAGCTTAGATCTTACCTTCCTGCAAACTACCAAAGATATGCTAGCTGCAAATTTTGATATGAAGGATTTGGGGGAAGCCAAGTTTGTTCTGGGCATAGAAATAATTTGAGATAGAAACAAAAGGACTTTTGGTCACTCACAAAGGCAATATGTTGACATGATCACTAAAAGATTCAATGTGGAGAAATGTGCTGGTGGTGAATTACCAATTGGGAAGGGGGACAAAATGAGCAATGAACAAATCCCCAAAAACAAACTAGAGAAGACAATTATGAAAGATAAACCTTACGCATTACTTATGGGTGGCTTAATGTATGCTCAAGTATGTACAAGACCAGACTTGGCATTTGCAGTAAGTTTACTAAGCAAGTTTTAAGCAAATCCTGGTCTACCTCCTGGTCTACCTCATAGAAAAGTGCTAAGCAATAATTGATTGCATCATCGACTATGGAAATTGAGTTCATTGGATGCTACATTGCAACCAAATTGGTAATTTGGCTAAAAAATATGGTGAAAGGGGTTAAATGTGATGGACAACATTGAGAAGCCACTTAAGTTGTACTATGACAACAAAGCATTAGTGTTTTTCTCAAAGAATAACAAAAGGTCATTGGCAAACAGACTAATGGATATGAAATACTTGAAGGTAAGGGATGAAAAGAGGAAGGAACTATTGATATGATGAAAAGAGGAAGAAACTATTGATATTCAACACATAAACACAAAACTTATGGCTGTTGGCCCTCTAACAAAAACCTTACCAGTAGGAGTATTCAAAAAGCACACTTTTGATATAGGAATGAAAGACTCTTTTGATTATGTCAATGAGTGCGAGTAAGCACTTGATTAACTCTTATGTGTTACACTCAGGGTTTTAAAAGACGTTAGGCGCTAGTAGGACGGGGAGCTGGTGGATAGTGCTTAGGCAGCTAGGCGGGTCTTAGGCGGGAGCCTAGGTGGACTAAGCGGATTTGAGTAAATTTATTGTATATCATATAATTTAATTCAATTTACTATATAATATATAGATAAATATTGAATAACATGTTATTTAGAAAAAAAGAATATATGTGTAAGGAGAATTTTAAGTGCATAATTATAAGGTGTGGTCTTAAAAAAATTCATAAATATAACCTAAAAAAGAATTAAAAAAAAAAGAATAGAAGAGGACTTGACCGATTGGTTTTCCTGAAAATGAGTCAGAAGAGAAGATGATGTGAGGTTTAAAAATATATAAAATAAAGAAAAGAGAAGATAGTAGTCCCACCATCTTAAAGAGAGATAAAGGAGGACAAACTTGGGTGACGCAAACAAAAAATAAGGGAAAGCATATTCTTCCTCGCGCGAACGCCGAACGCTCGCCGTTACAACAAATTTTTTCCAGATTCTGGCAC